GGATTTTGGTAACACTTGCTGGGTCCATCTCAGTGGTCAGTTCGTTCTGTCACGAAATACAGGGAGACCCAATTGCAAGTAAAATAATTATTTATTGACTCAGACAGAATGACAGAAGGGAGAACGCAGGAAGATGATGAGTGAGTCAAGCGAGCAGCAGGAAATGTAAATCGAACAGGGAGCACTGAAGAACAAGATCAGAGAGCCACCAACAGAAAGGTACAAGAGTCCAAACACAGAGCTCTCCCCGCGACACACGACCAGAACTCAGCGACCGGAACCTGACAGGACACAGACAAACAGACGTGAAGAAAACGAACTGACACTGTGAGACAGAAACGCTGAACATATATAGGCGCGGTAATGCGCTGCACCTGTGGTCCACTGATTACAGCTGAGCGGTGCTGCGCACGGCAAGGCTGGTGACAGCGTACACGTGACCACCCAGCTGATAAGGTAAACACAACTGACAGCAACGCGACTCTAACACAGACACAGAGACACCCAACACACACACTCATACACGCATATACGTAAAACGCATAACGCACCACACCGTACACACACACACATACACACACGCAGACACATCATAGAAGAACAGACAGATCCACAATCGTGACATATTGTTGCCATTATTTTATTCACTTTAAATTCAAGTGGCTTACAATACAAAACTGTCATGCACAAAGTGAGCATGATGAACATAGCTTTCTCAATATAATCCCCATGCACCGATTTCCTCTGTTTGAGGACAAAACTGCTTGTGAGTTCTCAAATATACGCTGCTTGCGTGCAAATTTTCTCACGCTCTCTCAAATGTGCACTGCTCTTGCACAAATTTTCTTGCGCACTCTCAGTACACTGCTTGCTCAGTGAGATTATATGCAAACTCACAATTTGTGTCTTGTGTTCCTTCTTCTTTTAGTGCTTTTTGAAATGATTTATATTGGTGCACTATTTATTAACAATAACCAAAATACTAAACTAGACTTACATATAACATTTTTAATCTAATAAACCATAACATTGTTGGCTGTATGTTATATGATGAGAAATTTCCAGTTTTAAACACTTAAATACACAGAGAATAGACTTTGATTGTAAAGAATACATTTTATTTTAAAAACATTTATTAAACATCCAAAAGGTGCACCATGCTAATCAAATACAAAACATTTAACAAAAATATAACTAACGCAAGCAGAAATGTAACTAATAGAAAATAGGGAAACACTTCATAAGGTATTATAGCCTACTGTGCTATTCACTCTTTAAATAAATCATTTATCATGGCAACTAAAATAAAGTGAACTAGTCTCTGTTGTCTTCCACATTGTTGATGAGATTTTGGAGGACATTTTCCCTGCCATCAACTTTATTTTGAGGAAAAGCTGTTTCACAGGGCCCCTGAACACACATATTGGCATGTACAGTGTTTTGAACAGTAGCCTACTACAGTAAAGTACTTCAATTAATTAGTTGTGGTAATACTATAGTTGCTATGGTTACACAAGTGTAATATAAACAAATTACCCAGTGCTTTAGTTTTTTTTCTTACATTATTATTCTATAAGTCACCACACTTTACTAGTAGAAAATTTACTAGTAGAAAATTTGTAAAACTACACTTTGTATTTCATGTTATGTTTATTATTCTTAATACTACGGTATGCTGAAGCATTCATTAACAAGTTGTAAATAATACTAGCCAAAAATATAGGCAGTATACCCAACACTCAGAAACACTATGTATTATAGAATTTACGTTAACCTGTAGGCAAATAGTGTAGCAATATGTAAGCAATATCAGCATTCTTAGGATAACAATTTAACAGGAGGATCTATGGAGAGCAAAAGCACGAAAATAGAAGGAAACACAGGGCACAAATTGTGAATCTGCATCATCTGATGGAGCGAGAGCAGTCAGTGTTTTAAGTGCACGCGAGGAGTTTTGTCCAAGAACAGAGGAAACCAGGGCGTGACATTCGCTTGCTCGTATTACATATGCTCTTGACTTGTAATACAGCGCTTACAACATTTGTCAGTGAAATAACGTCATTTGCACGTACGTCCATCTATCGGACGTACTGTTTTCTGCCATTTTCATCTATTTGACGCTTTTCCATTGCGCGTTAGGACTTAACATTACTGCAAACCGGGCTGAGCCAATAGCCTTGGACCTCGAGCTCAGAGGCTGAAATAATTCCACGTTCAAAACGTAAAAAGTGAACAGGAAATAGAACTGCGTTTTTTTTTTGTTTTGTTTTTTTTTGTTAATGTCTTGTGGGCAAAAAGTTTGTTGTAATGCAAGCGTTACTAAACATGTACTGAGGAAAATATTACTGAAAATGTATTAGTAATCCCTTACACTACTGCGTCACAGGAAAAGGTAATACGTTACTGTCATACATTACTTTTGTAACGTTTTACTCCCAACACTTTTAAAGGGTGGAGTATAGTAAAATTTCATCACTTGTCAATCCTTCTGTCCTCCTTGGCCACACCCATACATACATCCTCTTTTTTTACATATACTCTGCACAACATTAAAAGCATGAGACTTTTCTCAACTGCACATATTCTGTGTTTAGTTTCAACTCATCTCTGCTAACAGAAAATTTAGCTGCAGAGCGAAAAGTTATTTTAGTCTACTTCTGCAAAAATGCTTCATTAATATGCAAATCAATTCATCTTTTTGTCTATTGCACTTTTACGCTTTTTGTAGATTGTGTCAAAGCAGCCTAACCTGGAAGATTATAGTAAATTAAAACAGTATCAGTCTAGTTTTCAGAGTTTAAGTTTAGTTTAGTACAGTGTTGTTTAATATTCACTGCTGAGCGTCCAAACTCTGAAGAGTCCATTGATCCAAGTCATATGACACTCGAGAAGAAGTTTGCTTAATATATCACCCATAAGCAATACAAATACAATTGTTTATTAAAAATAACAAATAAAAAAACTATAAAAATATATATATTCCTTTCTCCAACAATACTTATTGGTTAGTTTAAAGTAAAAGTAGCTTTTCAAGATATGATCACAGCACTATTAGAAATGAGTAGACTTTTTAAAAAGAGTTGTACAGCTCAAGAGCAGCTGCTAGTAGTCGACTTTAGATTATGTGGGCGCTGATGATTTGTATAGATTCCTTTCACTGGTTTGTATAGAGAACGAGAGCTGTGTGGTTTGTTATGTTCGCACATGTTTGTTTGTGATTTCGCGTGTGAGCGAGTGAATGTGTGTTTTGGATGGACGTGGGTGCGTGTGTATGTATGTGTGTGTCTACAATGAGGAACATCTGAAGGACCCTGCTGGTGTAGTGTGTTTATTCGACCCCCTGGGGCTTGGAGCAGTATTGTGCTCCGATGCTGGAATTAGGAGGGATTGAAAAGGGATAGACCTGGCAACTCTAAACAGATTTCATTTCAAAGCTCTGCCCCAAGCGCCCTCTGTCTTTCGATCGCACACACATCTATCTTGCAGGAGTATCAGGGAGAGCAAATCAGGGAGAGAATATTTATCAAATAAATACTGTATGTCATATGGGGTATAAGTATTACAACCGTGTTGTAATCATATCACATAAAAACATATTTTCAAATTACATTCACAAGGGGAGCTCTTGTCTAGTAAATAGCAAAGAATTCAGAAACAAAAACCCTGAAATTAATTTATTCAGTTTTAAAATGTACTGATATGAGTTATAATATGCATAATTAAAAGGAAATTGATTTCTTTTATATGCATAGATTTTAAAAATTAGTGACAGAAAATGACAGACAAAGACACATTTAATTTATAAGAGAAATTAACTTTCTTAAACCTTTTACATGTGCTACTTGTACATCTGTATTAATTTAAGAGGAAGTGACTTCATACACCCAGTAATTTTTTTTTTTTGATGCCGATGTGGAATGTTGTGATATTTTGTAAGTGCTTTTCTGTCCTTTATAAAGTCTTAATGGTGTTTCTTGTTACTGTATGGAAAACTGTATCATAAAGACCAACACAATCTCACTGCAATTTGTAACTTTATATTTCAATGGCTAATTTGTACAGTATGAATTAGTACGATTTCATTCATATGGTACATTTTAGTACAATTTGATTACCATTAAATGACGTTTGGGTTTAGTGATTGGATTAGGGAGCATGACTCCTTTAAAAAATAAAAATAAAAAAAAATCACATGATTTTGTACAACTTAGCTAATTTTCTGAAAATACATAAAGTATGATTCCTTGTGATATCGTGTGGAAAGACACTAGTGGTGAACACATGACTGAATTAAATCTGGCAAATTTAGATTGAGATGCACCAATAGTAAATATCTCAGCCAATAACAGTCACTTCTGACCATCAGATGTTTTCAAATGTAGCTCTATATACATTTGAATAGAGGTGAAGGTGAAGAATGGTTCCAGAAAGCAGATAAGACAAAAACAGAATCCAAAAGATACAATAAACAATAACAGGGTGAGAATGTAGTAAAGTCTGGAAATGTAGTAAAAATCATAGGGCTTTTCTTTTTCTGGATTCTTTTTAAAACTGCCGGTTGAGTTTGTGGAAGTGGGTGGGCGAATCAATCTGTGCTTTTGAAAACACTATTGGTTGGGTTTAGGAATGGAGGAGGGTGGGTTAGTGGATTGGTCAGTCAGTCAGCCAACAGCGGCCTCTGGTGGATTTAAACGAGGACAGCAGGCACAAATGTCACTCGCGAGAAAAATTTATGATCTGAAAAAGCGTACACAGCAGCCTCTGGTGGGTTAGCAAAAACAAAAACTAAAAAAAAAAAAAAAAAAAAAACTTAGCTCATAGGATGTATTTGGCGCTCTCCAAAAATGCATATAGAGGTACGTTTTCAGAATGAGCCTGGGTTGGTTTTAACCTGATATTGATTATTGGCCAATACATTGATGCATCTTTATTATTATTACTTTTTATGCAATGTTATGATATATACACACATACTAAACCATCTCTTTTGCTCTTTGAAGAACTTGGCCATTTGTGATTAAGAGCCCAAAGAAATACAGTAACCTGTCCTTCACTGAGGCCATGGACAAATACAAATGGTCGATGAAGAAAGGAAAATCATTCAATGACATTGTACGGAAACTCCCGATGAATGTCCGCTGCTCTAAGACTGGACAGGATGAGTGGTCGGTGAGTGGTTTTGATTTATTCCTCAAGCTCAAACGTTTTCTTAAATTTTTTGTTCACGCTTTTTTTTAATGTACAATTCACGCTATTAACAAACCATTTACTAAGACTTTTAGCTCAATAAACTACTACTTAGCTGCTTATTCATAGTCAGTAGAGGTAGTAAGAGATTTTCTTATTATGGGGGAGATGTAAATGTCTGTATTGCTTAATAATGGAAAACCTGTAATGCTAACCTGGTCATGTGAAGTAGGTCTTATGCCTAGTTCAGACTGCGTGATTTTAGCCCCGATTTTGGCCCGCCGACAGGTTTTGGGAAATCGCCAACAAATGCCTGAAATCACAGGCAAATCGCTGCTCGTGCATGTGAGTGACAATCACACAGTATGAACTATCAAAGACGCGATCTGAGAGAATCGCCGATGAGTCGCCGATGCCTGCGAGATATTTGGCATGCTAAATATCTGGAGCTGTCGGCGATTCAAATCATACCGTGTGAATTGAGTTTTGACTGAAAATAACATTGGCGATCGCCTACAGCCAATGAGAGAGCGGCATTCACTTGTGTGTGCGTGTGTGTATACCTGCTGCAGGCTAGCGGGAGGCTGGGGGCGAAGTTAAACGCGATCTTTTTTGGTTTATTTGGACCCACGAAATGGAGGAAAAACTAGTGCAGGTTTGACAGGACTCAGGAGCAACCGTGTCTGTTTGACGTTTCATACATAAAGAAATTAGTTTATTATCAACGTTAAGGAGAAATGGCTAATTCCCTTTAAACCTAGGTGAGCAAATATGGACATTTTCTACCCCATTAAAGGCTTCTTTCTCATTATGTAGTTAATAACAAAAGACATACTACGTGTTTTTGGCTGTGAGACGTAGTTTGGACGAACTTGTCGGCGATTCTTCCTATAGTAAAGTCATGCAAAGTGAAAGTCCTTGTCACAGATCAATCTTGCAGTGTAAACAAAGCAGCGACAAAACGCTAGCCCAGATAGTCATGCAGTGTGAAAACATCTGTGACACGATTACTTTGAAAATCATGCAGTCTGAACTCGGCATTAGGTAATCAGATGACAGCTTTTTTCTGCACACTGCCATAGAGACAGCATTAGCATTAGCCATTCAGCTTTTTAGGCTAATTAATTTCAGACTTGCCTTCAAAAGGCTTTGAAGTAATATTCTGGTTTATGTGTTGAGTAGGATTAGGAATGTAAAGTAAGATCATACATTTAAGTGCTAATTAACAATTAATTTCTTAATAATATGCGGGAAATAACCTGTAGGTAATGGTGTGAATTGTTACTTAAACTAAAGTGTTACCACTTGTTTTGAATATTATTGTATATGTGGGCTTTGAGACATTTTAGACTGAGTGCTGACACCTACTGACGTGGATGAAGCATAGTACAAAAATAATAATTCTATTAGATACTAAATGCATGTTGAACATACAGTTTGCAGTCAGTGGGGATTTACTGTGTCATTAAAATTGTCTGATAACAAGAAGATCATTAGTATAGTGGAGGTTAAGTTTATAGGCCAAATGTGTGCTAAAAAGCCAAATAAATCAATTAATAACTACAACAAGGTTTTTGCTTTGTTACTTGTAATATGAAACTAAGGCCGTACTCACACTAGGTACAGTTGCCTACTAGGTATTTGTCCCCCCTCCCGTCTCCCCCGACGGCCCCCACTCACACCACAAATGGGCCTCGGCACGCTTACGTCATCGCTGCTGTGCTGTTCAGTGAGAAGCACTCTCTCACTCAGCAGCACAGTGGAGATTTCTCTAGTTATATCGTTTCAGTCGTTTGATATGCAGCGACATGCAGTCAAGTATTTCGCCAAACAGTCCTTAGGGATGCCGTAACACGTAGTCAGATATTTCGCCGAACAGATCCGCCACTTTTGGCGCTCATAAACAATCATAAAGCCCTCGTGCTGCAGGAATGAGGAGGTCTGCTGAAGCCGCGTAGCTGTCGTGCTGTGAGTTCTCGCCTTTAATAAACTACGGCAGTTTGCGTTCACTGAACAGTAAGAATGATTAATAAATCTATATGAAACAGCCCCTTAAAAGTCAAGTCTCGCTTTCAGTTTCAGGCTTTGGCGCATTTTGCACTCACACACAAGCGTACTGTGCCAAAGCCCAAGTGAACCGCGCTCAGGCACACCTCTTCCAACCGGGCCAGGGCCGGCCAATTGAACCGTGCTTGAGCCCGATTCAGCACACTCACACTTCTCAAACGATCCTGGAAACGGGCCTGGGCACGGTACGGATGGCATAGTGTGAGAAGGCCCTATAGTGTCAATTTAGGTCATTTTATCAGACATTTAGTAAACGTAAGTGTTAATTTTACTAAAATGACATTTATAGCTGCATCAGTTAAAGGAGCGACACTGAGCAAGCATGCAAAATCTGGTCATCTCTGCCTCTTTCTTTACTACAAGTTGAAGCACAAAATAAATTTGAATAAATACCAGAAGGGTACGGTGTGCTGAAATATATAAAATGACTTTCTGAAATGCATAGTTTTTCAACTTTTTATAAGTGTTTCAACTGTAAAGAAAACTATTGCTTATAAAAAACAACATGGAATAGAACACCTAATAAAACCCATTTTGTTTAGTCACCACAATTGGACAAAGCCTTAAAATGTAACTCGTCAACATTAATAAATGCAACCTTGGTAAGCAGAAGAGAGAAAAATAAAACTTACTAACCACAAACTTCTTAGATCAGGAAGTCATAGATTAATGTAACTTATCCATATCAGAATGTGTGTGTTTGATTTTTTGACAGTTTAATTTAAGATGTTCTCTGTGTGTCTGTTAGATTCAAGGGATGATCGTGTCTCCTCCAGAGGTGAGGTCAGAAAAGACGTCCACTGCTGTCGTGGCCTGTAGGAAAGACTCAGCCATTCAATGTGAACATTCCCTCGCACTTCTGCTCACTGCGTGTCTCTTGCTCATACTACAGACCTGTTTACACCTCTAATGTCTGCTGGCAGCTCATCCCATACTCATAAACATGCAAACAACAAATTCCCATCAGGCCTAGTGTTCCCCAGCAACAGTAAAACCTCAAGATTTACATCTTGTAGACACTGCAGAGTAAAGTGTGATTCACTCATACCCACCTAATTCAAGTTTATCACTATAATTAACACTGTTCACAACTGTTTCCATGCAGGCATTATGAAGTGTCCTGAGTTAATATTGACATCCTTGGTAAATAAGGACAAAGAAGGCCATAAAAAATTATTAAAATCTTATTGGTTGACATTTTCATCTTTGTAGATTAACTATTAGCAAAAACAAAACAAAATCACAAACTAAGTAAAGATTGAACAAATATAGTTGCTAATAATTATTGGCACCCCTATAAATTAATGAGCAAAATATTTTTTGTAAATATTTATTATATATAGTTTATTTCCATTTATATTTTACATTTTTAGTAAACTTTAGTGACTCTGAAGATCAAATTGAATAATACTAAATGGGGTGATATGATCACGTAATGGGGTCGTTATAATCATGATATGGCACATGTCATGAATATCAATGAGCTTTTGTGCATATTTATGACAAGTGTCATGCACATAGTTATGTCATTTTAAATACAATGATGATGTTTTAAATGTCCTTATGACAAATTGACATTATCAGGACGACATAACTTTAAAAATCTGTCAAAAACATTACAGCCATTATGTGATGCCATTAAAATTGTGATGAATTGTATAACAACGTCATCACTATTTTTTGTGGACTCAGCTACAGTGGTGCAAATTAAATTTGATTCGAATAGCACTTTTATTGACTAATTTTAATGGCAAATTCAGATTGTTCCGCTGAAAAGTGATCAGAAAAATATTCATGACGCACTTATAATGGCTTCATGACAATAATGTTTATGAAATATTTATGACAAATTATGTTACCTTGGTGATATCAAGTTTTCATGACAAAGATAAATTCAGGTTGTGATGTGTTTAGTTATGTCAAGTTGTCAGAAAAAACATCTCAAGCATGCATAAGCAAGCATAAAATCTCATTCATATTCATGACGTATCATATCATGTATTATAAAGATGTCTTACAGTATGTACACCCTCTTTAAGTAAAGTTTTACCCAACCAACCCTTTCTACCATCTGGGCAATCTTTAAATCAACTGAAAGTCTTATGAATCAACCTGGAAAAGGACATGTGTTTATCTTGTCCAAACACACTCCCAGGATCATAGTCCAAAAAATCTCTAAGAATAGAGACTGCAACTAGAGATTTGCCAACGTAAATTAGAGAATTAGTTGTGTCTTGGGGTCAAAAAGTCTTCAAAACTACAATCACATACAGTGCATCACCATAAATTGATTTTGAAGAGATCACAAAAAGGTTTCAAGAAAGAAAAAATACTTTCATCCTCCAAAATAAACGAAAAGCATCAGGCATCTTTAGTTGTTCTTTGTTCATATTTTGAGCAAGAAATCTTAAAACAAGTTAAAACAATACTTTTCCCCCCTTAACCTTCTTCACTGATATTTACCAAGGGTGCAAATACTAGTGAGTGCACTACGCATATACATTGATTAGTTGCTCTCTAACAAATGCCTCACTGCCCATTATTTTATCACATCTCCATTATTTTTATCACATCATTATTGAGTTAAATGGATAGTTCACACAAAAACGTAAACTCTGTTACTGTATGCATTTTGTCCATTGAATGAAAGTACAGCAGTTGGGACCCAGTGTAGTTTTGGATGCCACTGACTTTCATTGTATGGACAAAACCACAAGCACTATTTTGCTCTTTTTTTATTAAAAGTTACAAAGTCTAAATACAAGCAAAGGCGTCTAGAGCTCTGTGAACTGTATGTTCGTCTCATTATAAGATAAATGTGTTTCATAAGTGAATGCTGGCACTGTATTCAAAACCATTACATTTTTATAGGCTGCCTATGTCTTTTTAAGCAATAAATGTTTATTTCTTATAAATATTCTGAGACTTTTTATTTAAGGGTGGAGTTTTTTTGACGAAAGGACAGACTCTTAGCCATTTTATGCTACAGATGTGTCTTAGGTAAACATGTATTATTGTGTTCTTTTATTCAGTTTAGTTTGCCTGTTTTGTTTGGTTTTTTTTACTTTATTTTGTTTGTTTTATGCAAAATTCTTAAACATGCTGTATGAAAAATGTCCTGGTTGCTTCACAAAGCCTTTAGGAATATAATTAAAAGCATTTAGACAAGTAGATGTGGTCAAAATGATCTGCTGAATCTCAGTTTGATCATCAGAAAGGGAAAAAAATGGTGATAGAACTTGCATTGATGTTAATGCCAATGGTCTGGTACTTCTGAGTACTTCAAAAACTACCGATCTACTTGAATTTTCTTATACAATCATCTGTACAAATATATATGTATATATAATAATGAATAAAATTAGAGAGTTTTTTATTTATTTTTACACAGGCCTACGTACAGTACATCGTCTTGAAGAATCCTTCAAAGTCAAAATATGTAGTTTTTGGCACTAATTTAGGGGCATGTTCTCAACAAACAAATGCATAGTTTGATGATGAAGTGTGAAATCATGGGAGTTGTCATCTTTATAAAATCTTGTACAGAAATCATGTTCATGGATAAGCTGAAGTATTCAAAACCTACTATGAAGTAAGTATAGCAAAGTAAGCCTGAAATCCATTGAAGAAAAATGGTGTATGACGTCATTAGCATTGTGAGACAGGACATGGTGCATGTCACTTCTTGAAATAGCTTGTTTCTCTGGATTTTAACAACATTTGAAACATTTGGGATAAAGTACATGAGTCAGGAGAAAAATATAGCACTGCTTTAATGAAAAAAAACATCTTATATTGTGCTTTTTGTTCCATAGGTCAGACTTAAAGGTTCTTTGTGGATCTGAGCCAATAAACAATATCATATACAGTTAAAGTCAAAATTATTAGCCCCCTTCGAATTTTTTTCTTCTTATTTAAATATTTTCCATATGATGTTTGACAGTGCAAGGAAATTTTTACAGTATGTCTGATAAAATTTTTCTTCTGGAGAAAGCCCTATTTGTTTTATTTTCGGCTAGAATGAAAGCAGTTTTAAATATTTTTAACACCATTTTAGGGACAAAATTATTAGCCCCTTTGAGCTATATTTTTTTCGATAGTCTACAAAACAAACCATCGTTATAGAATAACTTGCCTAATTACCCTAACCTACCTAATTACCCTAATTAACCTAGTTAAGCCTCTAAATGTCACTTTAAACTGTGTAGAAATGTCTTTAAAATAGCTAGTACAATATTATTTACTGTCATCATGGCAAAGATAAAATAAATCAATTATTAGAAATGAGTTATTAATACTATTGTGTTAAGAAATGTGTTGAAGAAATCTTCTCTCCGTAAAACAGAAATTAGGGAAAAAATAAACAAGCGGTCTAATAATTCAGGGGGGCTAATAATTCTGACTTCAATTGTAGAATTGCCATAATTTATTCCAATAACGATGAAGAGCTCTGGACATTTTCACTCGATATTGATCTAAGAGTCAAACACACAGCAGCAATATGCAACAGCCATGAATCAAAAGACCAATGCACTTTGCTAACAAATTCAACAAGACGACAAAAATAAAGAAATGATGGGTGGAAGAAATGAGTGGAAGCAGTGACGAAGTAAGCGAACCTTGAGTAATTATCCAAAAATGATGAAATTATTGATAGACAATGTAGCACCAATTTTGTTATATAAAAAGTGTTTTGTCTATTTAAAAGTGTGACAAGGAGCAGACTAAAACGATCTGTATGACAATGGTTTGTGAAATGAAACTAAGTATGGCAACACAACCAACCTGTTTAATTACCTAAAATGTATCAACCAAAAAAAAAAAAACTTAAAGTTTTACAATTTGTGTGGACTTGCTGGAAGTTGTACTGTATTTTTTATGCTTTGCATATTTAATTTACCCCGTAATGCTAGATTAGTCTTTTTAAATCTATCTTACTATTTGTTTTATTTTAAGGCCAAACATGTCATCTGTTTTTGCTAATGAACAATATTTTAAATTGTAATTTATTGAACCCTCTAATTTTTGTTGCATCTGTCATTGTTGGGATGATAACTTTTAAAGCTGCAAGCATTAACAACTTATATTGAAATTTATCGATATTGTTCACTACGGAAAAAAATTATAGAGTTTGCATTTTAGCCAAATCGCCCAACTCCCGTTCTTTATTTCCTGCCTTTTAGATTCCTGAACCTGTAACTGTAAAGGTTTAAGAAACAAAATCTGACAAATGTCTTGAAATAGAATCATAGTAAAAGCCCAATAATCAAGCCCAGTCAGTTGAATTATTAGAAAATAATGTACACCTGAGGTGATGAACAATTATTTCTTATGGGGTACTTTCAAAGCATAAATTTTTGCTATTATTACAATCCTAACAGCTCTTATTTGAAGCTGAAAATGGCCAGAGATAGACACACACAAACATAAAATATCCAGTGAGTGTAGTACTGTGCTTCTGTGGGCAACAATGCCTTGTTGATGCCAGAGGTCAGAGAAATGCCAGACTGGTACAGCTGATAGAAATGCAACAGCATCTCAAATAACTTACCAAAGTCTGCAACAGAGCATCTCAACCCATCAAAACCTAAAGCAGAAGAATACACTGATGATACTCAGATAAAAAACAGCTAACTGAGGCTACAGTTCACACAAGCTGACCAAAACTACAACAGAAGAGTTTTAAAAATTTATTTGCCAACCCTGAGTTTTAGCCAAAGCACACTCTAACTAAAAACAATAATAATTCAGTATGTGAAAGAGACTCAGAATATGCCTTACAGTCCACTATGAAGCTGAAGGGATGTGATTGTTCTGGAGGCTCGCGGTAGATTTATCCAGTGTTACAGCAGGGAACTGTAAGCCCACTGTTACTGCCTGGGAGTAACTGGTACAACATTGAACATCTCT